TGGTTTAGAAAATTTGACTTATTTTCTACGGGTAGAGTGGGGATGGGTAGTTCACAATATAATTTAACTTTACTATTAAATACTAGGGACCTGGTGCACGAAATTCATGCCTGGAGGTGGGGGTGTTCAGTCTGGCTTGCACCCTCTCCAATCTGGAACCCCTTGGGGGATGTTTGCTGGTTTAGGCCTGATCCCTGAGGAAAGTTGGACATCCCTCTCATAATCCGGGACTGCTGGCTCCCAACTGCTTGCCTGCCTGCCAGCCTGATCACCCCTAACCACTCCCCTGTTGGCCTGATTGACACCTAACTGCTCCCTTGCCAGCCTGATCACCCCCAACTGCCCTCCTCTGCCAGCCTGATGGCCCTCAACTGCCCTCCCTTGTAGGCTGGGTCACTCTAACTGCCATTTCTTGCCAGCCTGGTTGCCCCCAACAGCCCTCCCCCTCCAGCCTGGTCACCCCATGCAGCCTGCTGCTAAGTCATTTGGTCATCCCTCACCCCTTGGCTGGCCTGCTTGCCCCATGCAGCCTGCTGTTCAGTTTTTGGTCCGTCACTAACCCTCCTGCTGGCCTTGTTGCCCCAAGCAGCCTGCTGTTTGGTTGTTACTGTAATGACATCCTGGACAATTTGCATATTCCTCTATTAGTATAGATGCTATTCAAGAGGAATGAAAGAAGTTATAAGTCCCTTGGATTATAAAATTTTCACTGTTTGTGTTAATACTAGTTCAGCTGCTACTTAAGATGCTGTTTTCTGAGTTTCCAATGAGTGGAGACCTCATGTCATCTTCCAGTATTACCTAGCCCATGCTCCTCATTAACTGCTATCTTCCAGCTGGGTGGTGCTGCCTTTAGGCAGGCTGTGGTTATAAAGCTGAGCAAGAGGCATGATGATTCAACTGTTACTATATTCAATTTGTGGGAAAGAATATATAGTATATATTTTTAAAAATATATATTTTATTGATTTTTTACAGAGAGGAAGAGAGAGGGATAGTTAGAAACATCGATGAGAGAGAATCATTGATCAGCTGCCTCTTGCACACCCCCTACTGGGGATGTGCCCGCAACCAAGGTACATGCCCTTGACTGGAATTGAACCTGGGACTTTTCTGTTTGCAGGCCGACACTCTATCCACTGAGCCAAACCGGTTTTGGCGGGAAAGAATATTTTTGAATGGCAAACATTGGACTTGTATTTTTCACCTTATACAGAGTTGGACTGGCCGTCCCCTCCCCGGCCCCTACTGGGGATCGAGCCCGTAGCCCAGGCATGTGCCTTGACCAGAAATTGAAACATGACCTCCTGTTTCATGGGTTGACAACCACTTAGCCCTACCAGCCAGGCCAACATGTACTTTCTTTTTTTTTATTTGCTGTATCCTTGTTATGTAATTTATTTAAAAACTAGAGGCCTGGTGCACGAATTTGTGCACCAGTGGGGTTCCTTGGCCTAGCCTGTGGGATCAGGCCAAAACCAGCTCTCCAACATCCCCTAAGGGGTCCTGGATTGCGAGAGGGTGCAAGCCAGGCCGAGGGACCCCACCAGTGCACGATGGGGACTAGGGAGAGAAGCGGGAGGTTGGCCAGCCAGGGAGGGACTGTGGAAGGGCTCCAGGGCATATCTGGCCTGTCTCACTCAGTCCTGATTGGCCAGACCCCAGCAACAAGCTAACCTACTGGTCGGAGCATCTGCTCCCTGGTGGTCAGTGCATGTCATAGTGAGCAGTTGAGCAGCCTTAGGGTATCATTAGCATATTACACTTCGATTTGTTGAATGGATGACTGGACATTTAGCATATTAATCTCTTATTCTATAGGATTTTTGTGTGAAATGTTTGATAAAAAAATATATATGCTTCAGTCTAGGAATAACAGAATACATATTACCTATTACTCAGGTGAAAAAATAGAAACCACTAGTATTTTAGAATACTGAGAGTGTCCCTTTCTCATATTCTATCTTGTCTGTCCCCAGAGGTACCATTATTTTGACTTAACATATAGTTTTTTTTTTTAGTATTAGTGGAGGTTTGGTGCATGAAAATTCATGCACTAGCCGAAACCGGTTTGGCTCAGTGGATAGAGCGTCGGTCTGCGGACTGAAAGGTCCCAGGTTCGATTCCGGTCAAGGGCATGTTCATTGGTTGCGGGCACATCCCTGATGGGGTGTGCAGGAGGCAGCTGGTCGATGTATCTCTCTCATCAATGTTTCTAGCTCTCTATCCTTCTCCCTTCTTCTCTGTGAAAAATTAATAAAATATATTAAAAAAAAGAAAGAAAATAAAATTCATGCACTAGAAGGGGGGTCCCTCAGCCCGGCCTGCCCCCTCTCACAGTCCGGGAGCCCTCAGGGGCAGGAGGTGACCCAGCAATCAGGGGAAGGCGATGCCCCATCACAGCTGCGGCTGCCACTGTGCAAGCCTTGGCTGGTCCTGGTTACTTGAGCCTTGGGTGGCCCTGGGCAGCTGCCATCCGAGGTTTGCCTGCGCCTCAGGCTGGCCCTGGGCGGCTGGTGGGCTGAAGGGTCTGGGAACTCTGGAAGTAGGCGCCCTGGTGGGGCACAGGGGATTGGGTGCTGCCATCTTGTGGCTGTGGGTACTGCCATCTTTGAGGGTGTGGCAGTCAATTAGCATATTCCTTATTGGCTGTGGGCACCACCATCTTTGAGGGCAGGACAGTCAGCATATTCCCTCTTTATTGGCCGTGGTCACTGCCATATTTACGATGGGGTGAGGGTCAATTAGCATACTCTCTCTTTATTAAATAGGATTGTCTGTGTATATGTTCCTAAATGACATATTACTTTGAAAAATGAAGAGTGCGTATGGAGCTAACTGCATTAGGGAAGGACAGCATTTCCACAGTTAGATGGAAGGCTTCCAGGAAGAGGGCTGACTAGTTGGCATCAGGTTCACTGACTTTCAAGAACTTCTACTCAGGCAGTCAGTAAGTGGTGTCACTGGTTAGTTCTTGGATACATAGGGCCGGCTTGGTCAGAAACCAGTCTGGGCTACAGGAGGGACCCTGTGTTACATGTTTGTTCAGCAGGTATATGTCCCCATGAAAAGAGTGCTGCTTTTTATTTTTTATGTCTACGCTCTTTGTGGTCTTCTTTCAGCATTAGGAGAAAGGAGTGTTCGCAGCTGATGGGGGTGGCAAGGAAAGGTGGGGTGAAGGAGCCGTCAAGGCAAGCTCACTATGAATGAAAATCTGGAATAGGCTCATCTGGACGTTCTGTGCTTAGAAACAACATCAGTGTTTATCTTGGAGATGGCAGTTTGTCGTGCTGTCTCAGGAGTCATGTTGCTGCCGTCTGGGCTAGTTGCCCTTTACGTCCAGTGCACAGCTACATGCTGGAACCTCTGTTGCCAGGCCTCACTGAAGATCGCTGTCATCCCTCTCCCAGCTTTGGTCTCCTGCATGTTCTGTATACTAAGTCATCTTTTTGTTGTTGTTAAATTACATATTTACTCTTTTTCTAAATATAGAAAACATTCTCCAGTTGCTTCTTGAGAAATAATGCAGGGAAGGTAAATGTGGGCTCTTTCATGTCTGAGAGAAGGCTTTCATAAGACGGTTTGGCTGGGTGAAAAATTTAGGTTGGAAATAATTTTCCTTTACAACTTTGAAGAAATGGTTCCTTTGTCATCTTCCTTCCAATATTCGGGCTGAGAAGACCGGACTGAGTCTCAAGTCTGTGTGTGTGATGTGTATTTTCTTTCCAGAAGCTTGTAGAATCTTCTTTTTGCCCCCAGTATTACAATACTTAACAACTGAGGTATGCCTCAGTATAGGTCTCCCTTAATTTTTTTTTACTAATTATTTGGTTGGTCCTTTCAAATGGGCAGCTTTAGGTCCTTCGGCTCTAGAAACATCTATTCTTTGATTGCTTTCCAACCTCCCCTTTTCCCTCTCCATATTCTTTTTTCTGTAATTCCTGTTATTCATATATTGGCCTCCTGGACTGTCCTCTGACATTGTTCTCTTTTCTAGTGCTTTATCTTTTTTTTCTCTGGTTCTTGGAAGACGGTCTTAGTTTTATCTCCCAAGCCTCTGTCTTTTCATTTTGGTTATTGTGTTTTTAATTTCTAGAACTCTTTATTTTTTAATGTTATTTATTTATTGAATTCTGTTCTTGTTTTATGGATATCATATCTGTGAGGAACATTAATATATGTGTGTGTGCATGTATGTATATATTCTGTCTTAGACAACTAGTAATACTTGGCTATCTGCTCGTGATTAACAGTTGAGGACTAAAATGCTGACTGGAAACGGTTTTTGGTTCAGTACTGACACTAGCAAATGTGCCTCATAGACCTCAAATGTACTCTTGTGTCTCCCTCTCCGATCTGCTCCGGTGGGAGGCTGGTTACTAAGCATTGTGGAGAAGGGAGTGGGTCTAGGAACCAGAGTGCTTTTCAAACAGGCTTAATGGGATCTTCCTTGTTTGAGCCTCCTCTTTCTCTACCCCTGCTGCTGCTTCATTTCCAGAATTAATTTGAGATTTTGCCTTCTGTGGGTCCTCTAGTGTCTGTGCTGTTTCTCAGCTGGCTCTGCCTCGAGGCTGTGATTTGGCTTTCCTGGGTCCACTAAGCCACTTAATATTCACCCATCGCTTTCAGTCTTCCAAGGTTTTGTTACTCTTATCTCTTCTCCTTTGTAGCTTTTATCTCTTCTCCTTATATAGTTGTTTAAAAGTCTTTTGCTGCTTTGATGAGAGGGAAATTATATGTGTGTTTTTAATTTGCCATCTTAATTCTAAAGCCCTGATTATTTAAAATGTGTATTAGTCTAAGTTTCACCTCTTAAGACTTGGACAGATTATTAAAGTTAACCTTTTGCATCTCTTGTTTTGTTTTGTTTTACATTCATATTTATATTGCATTAAACTCATTGTGTGGATTCCTTGAGACTCTAGGAACTCAAGGCTTTATAAGTGAATCTAGCATTTGTGAATAAAAAGGTTGATTGTTTTTTAAATTTGCTCTTGTAGGAAAGTGAGAAGGTTTCTGACTATCCAGCAGTGATTGTGGAGCCAGTTCCGAGTGCCAGATTAGAGCAGGGCTATGCCGCCCAGGTTCTGGTTTATGATGATGAGACTTATATGATGCAAGATGTGGCAGAAGAACAAGAAGTTGAGACCGAGAATGTGGAAACAGGTAGACATCTCATCACATGTTTATTATTTCTAACTTTCTCATTTTGTGTCATCGTTGCTACTGCCAGATGAATAATATACCGAAACCCCTTCCTTTTTAATGTTATTTAGTATAGATTGGAAAGTAGTGAAACATCTCTTGTTTAAGGAAATTAATATGGACATAAGAAGTTCTCTATTATAATTTTTGAGGTATAACAGAGTCTTATATCATGGACCCTAAGGACAAAATTAAGGCCCACAATAATTATTTGGATAATTTTTTTTGGAAGTGCAAAAGTTGACCAGTTGTTATTTACTTGTATTAGAGGTCAGTAGGCTAGTATATGAGGGTAACTTTTTTAAAATTTAAAAATAAATAGGGTATTCTCATTCAGTAACAGGTTAAGAGTTTCTTTGAATCAGTATTGATGGAGCAGTATGATTCCTTTTGTCATAGGTTGGAGTATCTTTGCGGTAATCTATCAGAATCTTCTTCCCTTTAAGTCTTAGAAATTGTGGTGTTTCAGTCTGTCTGTGGTGAGATAACTGTAAGTTTAATTGGGGTTAGTGTGCATAATTCTTGGAGAAACCTTTTAATTTTTGCCTTTGACTATAAAGAAAATAAGAGTGTTTTACTACTGGAAGGATTGCAGTGACCCTTTTATTATAATAAACATTAAAATTTATCTTTGGCTATTAATGGTGAAAAAGAATCCTTAGCTTGGTGGTCTATTAAAAATTCGTAAGCATTTTGATAAATTCCTATAAATGTAGCAAAGTCTCATGATTAAACATTGTGGGAACTGGACGTCTTGCCGTGTGCGGAGGCCTAGGAGCACGGTGCAGCACTGCCAGCTTCTTCCAGCTGAAAGCTGTTCTCCAGCCTTACTTGTTGTTGAGCTGAGGGATTGGAAGCTCCCTTGCTCTTCAGAGCTTCAGAGCCATGGCAACAACAATGCCAGCAAACCCCAGGTGACTTGGTGACCAGTTCATTTTCAAAACAGGTTGCCAGACATTTTAGATGGGCGCGGTGATTGTGGTCTGTGCTGGCACTCGATTTATGATAGATGATGCAAGTGGCAGGAAGATAACGTGTGTTTTTCTGAGAGTTTGGTGAGTTTTCCAGTCAGTAGGTAGAAGTCTAGTGGCAGAGATGAATTTTCTTCTTGAGGAAAACAATAAGCAAGAACAGCTAACAGTATTATGCATGATGATGTAGCTGTTGAAAATGATTTTATTATAGGAGCATAACTAAACAGAAAATTAATAGTATAAGAACAAAAAATCTGATAGGTAAAATTGAATGAAAAAAGTAGAATTTGAGTGAAATTTCTGTAAAATGTTCAAAAGCATAAGGAAGGCTATGATTTTAGTAGCAAATTAGAAATTAAAACATGAAAACTACAGTGCCAAGTTTGCATCAGTAGAACATTGTTTTATCATAAAATTTTCACGTTAAAATACCAGAGCACGTTGGCCAAATCTTATTGGTTGTGCAGTGTTTCATTATTTTAAATTACTTAGATAAAAACAATTCCAAATAGGAAGCAAATATAAGTCACTTAAGGTACTTGATTTTCTTGGTCTTGAACTCTGAGGGTGATGATATCATTTGCAAGGCAGAAATATAAGTAATGGTGATATTGAACAGGAGGATATACAAAAGTCTGGGAAAAGTAATAGCTATTTTTATGATATTTTAAAAGTGGTTTTTGAATACTTGATGACATTTTTTTAGATTTATTTATTTTAATACTAAAAGGAAATGTTAGTAAATAATTCACATTATTCTAAAATAATCTAAGTGTACTGAGAAGTTCATCTTAAATTTTTAAAAATTTTTATTTTTGGTTAATCCTCACCCAAGGATATTTTTTCCAATGATTTTTAGATAGAGTGGAAGGGAGGAAAGAGAGAGAGAGAAACATTGATGTGAGAGAGGCGCATTGTCTGGTTGCCTCCCGCGTGCACCCTGACATTGGAGCCGAGATTAGCCTGCAACCAAGGTATGTGCCCTTGATCAAAATCTAACCCAAGACCCTTCAGCCCACAGGCCGGCACTCTATCCAATGAACCAAACTAGCTAGGGTTCATCTTAATTTTTAATTACATACTGGCTCATGGATTTCTAATGAAATCTATGCTTGCTTTATTCTAAAAATAAAGGTTAGTATAATATAATTATTCTTTTCTCTCTCTTTACTTAACAACACTGAAAAACTTAGAATTCAGATTGTTTTAAAAAGACAATGCCAAATTCATACTAAAAACTGCTGGCACATACATCTATAATCATAACAATTTAAAACACTTGTATTTGTTCATCATAAGGCATGCAGACCATGGAGTGAGTCTATAATATACTGACTTACTTGACAATACTATATCTCATGGATTTTTAATAACTTTATAAGGTTGGTTAATATATATATAGATTAGTTTAAAATAGTTCATTAGAGCTTAATTTTGTTTTTATTTAAAGAGTCAAATGCATTTTTAAATGAGTTAAGATCTGACTAAATTTTCATTCTTCTGACAGCTAACATCTAGAATGTATACAAAATTAATGAAGGTTGTTATGATTTGTTCTAATACATGTTTCCTTTTGAATAGTGGAGTAGGAGCAGGCTCATTTCTCATGGTTTTCACTTAAATTCCAGAGACCTGTAAATTGTGGAGAAAATGAGTGGGAAGAAAAGCAAAGGAATATTTATAAAATAGTTATATCAGTTTTTATTTGGGGAATTGGTGGAAATGAGATAAATACAGAATAAGATTTCCTTTTGTACATCTAGGGGACACTTCCTGAAATGTTCCTATATTATAACTTAGTTATATACATTTAAAAATGTTCATAATTAGCCTGGTGTGGCTCAGTGGTTGAGTGTCAACCTATGAACGAGGAGGTCATGGTTCGATTCCTGGTCAGGACACATGCCTGGATTGTGGGCTCAATTCCCAGTGGAGGCAGCCAATCAATGGTTCTCTCTCATCATTGATTTTCTCTTTCTCTTCCTCTCTGAAATCAATAAAAATACATAAATTTAAAAATGTTCGTAATTATACTAATTGAGTTATATGTCAATTTTCTGCATGTTTACAATACGTTTTTCTTTTATTCCTATGTTTCCATATGTATGAATCCACACGAGAAACAGTGTTCATGATGTCATCCAGGCAGGAGTACTGTAATCATATAACAATATATATTTAGCCATTTTTATTATTTTGTGAATATAATAATTCTAATTTTGTTAGGTATAATTATAGACTAAAAGTCTACATTTTCCTCACAGAGTTTATATGTAATTATAATCGTCTCTTAAAATTTACAGGGAAAATCAAATATGTTTTGAAACTTTAAAAGTAGGCATATTCATATAAATCTATAAACTACTTTTTGATGATAGCTTAGAGTTAGTAATCATAAAGAACTTTTGAAGACTAGCAATGCAGTCCGGCTGAAGGTGGTCTTGAATGGTGGGCAGGAAATACTCTGTCAGGGTTTGCAGGCTCTACCAGTTCTGGAAGCTGTTCCTGAGACTGATGGGGTGAGTTGGGGGTGGAAAGGAATCTCTTGAATTCCATACTAAGATTGGGAAATGCAGTTTTTATGTTTACTCAAAATATATGTTTATTATATGACTGCAAATTTTAAAAGGTTGTTACAGATTACTATTTTAAAAGTAATAAGTTTATGCCAGTGCAATTAATAATAGCTTTTTAAAATATATTTTATTGAAATTTTACAGCGAGGAAGGGAGAGGGATAGAGAGTTAGAAACATAGATGAAAAAGAAACATCGATCAGCTGCCTCCTGCACACCCCCTACTGGGGATGTGCCTGCAACCAAGGTACATGCCCTTGATCAGAATCAAACCCGGGGCCCTTAAGTCCACAGGCTGACGCTCAATCCACTGAGCCAAACCTGTCAGGGCAATAGATAGCTTTTTAAATTTTTATTTATTAATTTGAGAGAGAGATTTGTTGTTCCACTTATTTTTGCATTCATTGGCTGATTCTTGTATGTGCCCTGACTGGGGATTGAACCTGCAACCTTGGTGCATCAGGATGAAGCTCCTGGCCAGGGCAAGACTATCTAATAAAAGGGTAATATGCAAATTAACTGCCACTCCATCACAAAGATGGTGCCGCCCATAGCCACAGGATGGAGGCGCCTAGTCCTCTCAGCCCCGCGGGAGTTCCCCAGTACTGGGAGGTGGGGGGTGGGGGGCGCTGAGAGAGGACAGCGTGAGTGGACTGGTGGAATGCTTGCTTCGTTGCCACAGCGATGAGGCAAGCATTCTATGCCCGGCCGCGGATGGGCCTCTGGGCCAGGGAGAGCCTATGGGCAGCTGGCACGGAGCAGCCAGGCCCTGCAGAGAGCTACTGGTGTGCAGGGCTACTAGTAATAGATAAGTTTTGATAGAAATCTTTGATAGAAATCTCAGACTTGTCTGAGAAGCCAAAACCGGTTTGGCTCAGTGGTAGAGTGTCGGTCTGTGGACTGGAAGGTCCCGGTTCGATTCCGGTCAAGGGCATGTACCTTGGTTGCAGGCACATTCCTGGTAGGGGGTGTGCAGGAGGCAGCTGGTCGATGTTTCTCTCTCATCGACGTTTCTAGCTCTCTCTCCCTTCCTCTTTGTGAAAAATCAATAAAATATATTAAGAAAAAAAAAAAGAAAAGACTTGTCTGAGAAGATTGAGCTGTTTAGGCTCTTCCTCTTCATCCTGCACTTAAATTTTACATACATTTATGAGAATATATTAATAAGTACTTTGCATTTTTTATGTACAAAGGCACTTTTTTAAACATGTTTCAGAGAAAAGCTCAGTTTATAGGATAAGGAAATGTTTTAGATAAAGTGAAGAAGGAGGACACTTGGTAGGATTTGGATAGACAGATAGGAAGTAGGCGAAAGGCACTTTATTTTTTTAATTTTTCCCCCCCAGTTTTCAGATTCTTTTATCTTTATTCAGTGTTAAAAGATAGGAAAAAGGCATCCTATATTAATGCAT